GGCAGAGCCAGTGCACACCCTGGCCACCATCCACCACGGCTGCCCGCCCTCCTCCTCCTCCGGGAGCTCCTTGTCCAGCACCAGAGCGTGAGGTCTCTCTCCACAGGGACTGTCGGAGCACGGCTTCGGTGGGATCACTACCGACATCCGTGAGGGACAGACTTTCTACTACGCGGAAGACTACCACCAGCAGTACCTGAGCAAGAACCCGGATAGCCTGTGGGGCAGCGGGCACTGCAGGGCAGCCTTGCTTTGAGGCCCCATCCCCCTCCTGGGTGCACACACCCAAGAGACTGCAAATGCTTACCAGGCAATGAGATGCTTTGTCTCGCTGAGCTGCTCCAGAGGACCGGGAAGGAGGGTTTCTCCTTCCTCTGCACATCAGGCCCTACCTGGCAGAGGAAAAAGAACGTGGTTGATGAATCCTCATGCTTTGCTTCCAGCTCTGAGAAATGTAGCAAGTTCTCGTTACAACGAATAACTCTTGGGATATGTCCAAGAGTGCTTAAGACAAATTTCAAAGCCTCAAAACATTTAGGGAAAGAAAGAGTTATATAGCCACTTTCCCAAAAGTGAAATCCATGATGTACAGAATCATGGAAGTGTTTACACCCACAGATCCCTGCCAGTCAGTAACAACAGCTGCTCCCCACACACCTGTCACATCCCTGGTGATTTCTTACGCGAATTATTCAGTGGCTGCAGAGTCGGGAAAGCTTTCTTCCTGCGCTGAGCTTCACTTACTAAGTTAACCCCTTACCAATCACTCACCCCCGTAGACTGGCCTTGTTACCTGGTGTTGTAGTGACCCGCAGTCCTTTCCAGGCTCTCGCTGCGCCGTGCAAAGAACTGGCCAGGACGAGTGGTGAACGTGAGGGTTTAACATTTGTTGTAGGGCACCAAAGCAGAAGAAAAAGGGGAGAGAAGGGCACTGGAGGAAAAGGGAGCCTATACGTCCTGCACACGTCGTGGTCCACTGCAAGAGCAAGAGGGGAGCTGTGCAAAGTCCATGGCTGCTGCCTCCGTCTGCCTCATTCACCTCGAGCCGGGCACATCTGCCAAATAGCCTGGCATTTTTGAGCTATCGGAACAGCAACTTCTATAGAACGTAGCTAAAGGTTCCTGCAGTTCCCACACACCCCTGTACCCTCTCATGGGTCCTCAGACCATCTGGAAGGCTGCGTGGGGCTTCTTGGGGCTGCCGGTGGCTCCACACACAGCAGTTTATTAGCTCAGCGTCAGAATCGACAGGGCCACCTTGCTTCTGGGAAAGGGTGCACCCCAGGCCCTCCAGCTTCTGCCAGTCCCTGGGCCTATGGCTGAGTCCCCACAGAGGGTACCAATCCTCCTGGAGAAGGAACCCACGCTACATTGACAAGATTCATCCTGAAGCATCCGGCCCCGTTTCTAAATGAGGAACTTGATGAATGCTCTGGGTGAGGACCTCAACATGGGAGTTTTAAGCCAGGCAATTTAACCCCAACAAGCTTTGCTGCCTTTACCCAAGGCCGTTTCTGTTTGCAGACTGAGGTCAGAGGATTTCTGCCCACCTCTGTGTCATACTCCAAGGCGGGCAGGAGGAATGCCCTGCACAGTGATGGTGCCAAGAAGGAAGACACAAAGGACACCCACCGTGGGTGGGCCCTGCATGTCCTGCCAGAGACACTGCGGTCTGTGCAGGAAGACACAGGTGAGCTTGGAGAATGAGAGCTGTGAGCCTGGCCTTCTCCAGGTCCTGGGCATCAGCTTCCGGGTGCGCATGCATGGCCATAGGATGGACTGATATTAGCCTCATTCTGCACGTGAGCAGCTAGAGGTTCCAAGTTCAGAGGCCCCCTAAGGTCCTGCTGGAGGCAGGAGTGCTCTTCTGAGGAGTCCGCATGACGGCTTGCTCTGCCATGCCACCTGGCCTGTTTGGACCGAAACCTCAGCTCCCTTTCCAGTTTGGAGGCTGCTCCAGGAGACACCTTCACCCCAGGATGGGTGGGAGCACAAGGCACACGGAGGGCCCCACTCCCCTGCCTCTAACCTCTCCTACCCCACCCTCCACTCGCCAGAGCCCAGGATGCCCATGGCTGCTGAGGACCATACCGGCTCCACCCAGGGCCCTATTGTGACCTGGCAGCAGGCCGGGCTGTGAGCTGGCGGGCACGGAGGGCCCAGTGCTTCCCCTCGTTCCTGCCTGGGCTGACTCCTCCCTGTCACCAGGGTGGGGACAATGACAGGACGGAAGGAGGGAGAATGGCACCTGCTCGTGTCGGTCATACTGCTGTGCTGGGCACACAGCTCCCTGGTAGGTAGGTCTCCGTGGGACCCTCCCGGGTGCCCCCTGCCAGGGTATCCGTCCCTGGGCACCCAGGTGCAGCCCCCAGTGAGGTGGGTCCCAAGGCCAACCCAGGGGTGCTCACCTCACCCGGTAGTTATAGGAGGATTGGAGAGCAGCGCTCATGGGAGGCCCCTCACTGGGAACACCCCACACTTTAAAGTCGCAGTGGAAGAAGCTGGGGTGCCTGTGTGTATGCGCAAGTGTGTGTGTGCACACATGTGTGTGACCATGTGTGTTAGGCACCAAAGTTTTCCAGCACCAGAGCCAGTAGGCACCTCGGCAGAGCTGGCGGGCTGTGAGCAGACTGGTCCCTGGTCACATCTGGTCACCATAAGGACACCGTGCAATCCTCAGAGGGGCTGTGCTTGTCGCTATCAGTGTGAAAACTTCTGGAGGGTTCTGCAGGGCCCCCCAGGTCCAGCACAATCCACCATAGCCCAGAACCAGATCCAGGGTGTGGGTCCGTAGCCGCCACCATGCCTCTCTCGGGCGCTGAGGAGGTACAGGCCACACTTTCTAGCCAGCGTTGGTCAGCAGCTGTCGGGCCCTGCAACAGATGGGTGCGTTTGCGGCAGCGCATGAATTCAGCCGCTCCCTGTGAGCACGGTGAGGGGAAAGTATTAAGCAGAAACGAGTAGACGCAGTGGGCTTCAGCTCCCGCCCAATGGACAGAAACTGACAACAGAAGCCAGGGTGACAGGAAGCTTGGGAAGGCTGAGGAAGGGTCAGAGCCCAGCCCTTTCCGAGACACTGAGGCTCGGGTGGGCCCTGTCTGGTGAGGCAGCTTGGGCACAAGCAAGGGCGCTGCGAGGGGCAGGGGCTCGCTGTGCGGCCGAGGGGGACAGGCCGGTGTGAACGGGATGGGCTGAGAGAAAGCCGCAGGGCCCCGATGGAGCACAAACGTGCAGAAGCACAGGAAGGGCTGCCAGGCCTCTTCCGGTTACAAAGGGGCCTAGAGAACCTCAGGAGAGCAAGCGCGAGCGTGCAAGGAGAGACGGAGGCGGCTCAGAGGAGGGACCGTGCGGCAGGAGCTGGAGGACAGGAGTGAGCCCGGGGGATGGAGGTGTGGCCCGGCTTGTGCCGGAGCAGAGGGACAGACTGGGCAGCTTCAGGGAGGAATTGGTGAGGAAGCAGAGTCGGGAATGTGCTGACCGAGGGGATGTGAGCAGAAGAGGCAGTGGGGGAGACGGTTCCCGGGGCGGCAGGCAGAGGTTCCTGCCTAAGTGAGCAGAAGGATGCGGTGCATGGCCCTAGGCGATGGCTCACTTGGGTCCTGTTAGGTTTGGGTGCCTCGAAGACCCTCTCATGAGGTGCCGGGGTGGAGAGGGGTCAGTGTGAGCGTGGAGGTACAAGGTGGTGTGTGAGGCAGGGCCAGCGATGAGACCCTCCAAAAAGAGGGAAAGGGAGGAGTCGGCTGAGGCCTAGGAGAACGGGAATTCAGCAGGGCACAGTGTGCATTAAGGAGCCTGTTCCGAGACCATGCAGTCAGTCACAGGCAGCTCCTCCTCCATGGAACCCAACGGCACCCACCCGTCCAAATCAGCTCTCCAGGAGGCAGGCGGAAGACTCCGTGAGGTCCCGGAGCTAGGAGGTTGAGAGCCCAGGTGGTGCCGGCCCTGACTCTCATGGTTCTCACCGGAAAGGACAGTGTGGAATCTTTACTCCCAGCATTTCTACACCCACACCACAGCTACACAGCCCTGCCACATGACATAGCTCCCCTGCAGCCCTACAGCACACCCCACACCACACAGCCCCTACCACAAACCCTACACCTCATACCCCACACCCTACCGCCACACACCATCACACACACTTTAAGCCACCTCCACACCCCACCACCCCTCCTGACTCCCAGTCATGGGTGTGTGTTGTGGAGACTCAACAGAAATGCCCCACTGCGCTTGTCTGATTTCCAGAGGACACTGAGGCATGGTTTAAGTAAACCAGTCCCCTGGATGCTCGTTGGCTGCTAGTCCCAATGCTGGGCTTGCAGCAGCGAGCTTCATCCTCCCAGACCTGTGTTGGAAGAACCTTCCAGAAAGCCACGCTGTGGTGATGGAGGGAGCTGGTATGCCCAGGAGCACACGGTCCACACTGGGGTGCTGTTGGCTGGCATGAGGGGGGCAAGGGCGTTTGAGGGCTCTCACCTGTGTTGGGGGAGCAGACAGTTCGTGCCGGTTTCTTCCAAGCCAGCTGGCTTGCCTACTGGGCCCTAACACTTTTTCCCTCTTCCTTCTTCCTTTTAGTAATATGCAGCAAAAGAATCTATGCCAAACCTGGCCCATTCGAGATTTCTGCAGTCATAGGCGGGGATCCTGCAAATATTACAGAATTTCCTTGGCAGGTGGGTATTCTGGACAAGGGGAGTCATATTTGTGGCGGAAGTATTCTCAGTGAGTGGTGGATTCTCTCTGCATCTCACTGCTTCGAAAACACCAATCAGTAAGTACTGCAAACGGAATCTTTTTCTTCGTTTTGTTTTTTGACCTGTGAGGTAAAATATTTTCCCGGGTGCCCCGGAACCTCAACCAGTTTGTTGGCCATTGAACAAAATTTCAGGTGGCTGAACAAAGACCTGTCTGGCTGCGTGCTCCACTGGCAGGTAGGGGTGAGCTGCCCTCCTCCCTGGGTGGCTCCCATCTTTCTGAGGGTCTGAACTTGCAGCACAGATGTGCCTCGGGCTTTGCATCTTGCTGAGTTCAGTGGGCCTGGCCTGACTTCTGGAAAGCACTTTTCCAATTTTTGCTGTCCCTTGGAGAGACCATGGCTGACCATGGCTGCAGGGTCAGAGTGTTCCTGAGGGCAGGGCTGCAGCCCTAACTGCACATGAGAATCTCCCAAGTCCATCCACAAGTCAGGGTTTTTAAGCAGCTTCCTAGGTGCTTCCTCTGCAGCCCGCCCAGCCCTTCTTTCGAGTCAGTGCTGAGAGCCGCAGTGACTTTTGCTGCCAGACACTGGAAGTGCTGGGTGATGGAACGTACAGGGCCCTTTCCCCGAGGAGGAGACCATCATGCCCAGAGCCACTCAGCATAGCGCAGGCCTGGAACTCAGCTCTGTCTCCTGCCACCTGAAGGGGGCTCTTTGCTTGGCTCTGCGGCACATGCACCACCCAGACATCTCCCCCTACTCCTACTTCTTAGGATCGCGGCTGCCGACATACAGAATTATTATATTTCTATTGCTTAACATTTTTTCCTCCTTTTATTTTGAAATCAGCTCAAACTTGGCGATTGTGCATGGCACAGACAACTTAGAAGCCGAGGAAGTGGAGAGTGTAGGAGTGGACCTGATAATTATCCACCCTGATTATGACAGCGCAATCTACAACAACGACATAGCTTTGCTCTTGCTCAAGACCCCATTGGTCTTCGATGTCACAAGGATGCCCGTCCACCTTTCAGAGGTCACTGACACGCAGGCATGGACCACCTGCTGGGTGACCGGATGGGGTGTTACCAGTTGAGTTCCTCAGGGCCAGCCAGGATGGGGTGGCACTGGCTGGCGTTTAGAATGGGAAGCAAACTCTGGATGCCCTGCTGGTCCCTGGGGAATTCTTCCTGGCACATCTGGGGACTTTGATTCTCACTGAAGGCCCATCATGAGCCTCGTTCTCAGGCTACTGGGAGGCCATCTTTCACAGGCTTTCCTGGGATCCTGTTAACAAGCGTGTTAACATTTGGTGGCCCATAAACCCTCCAGAGGAACTCAGCGATAACCAAGTGGTGGTATTCCAAGTGTGAGGGGTGACTTGGAGGAATTCTGAGGGGCAAATGGAAGGGCAAAGGGGCAGAAATGGCAACTGCCTCCAACATGCCCACACCACTGTCAACCACAGCAGCTGTGTGCCAGTTGCTGATGTCTGATCTGCTCTCCAGTAAAAGGACTCTGATCAAAATGTTTGCTAATTGCAGGTCAAGACAAGAGGAGGGGATTAATGAGTGTAAATTTTTCTTTATGGAATTGACCTGCAATCCACTCTCAGGCCACTTGCCAGACAACTGCCAAGTAGTCCCTTTCATCTTTGTTCTTGGCTAGTGTGTTCTGCTGCCTCATGACAAACAGAGGAGAAGAAACACATCACAGGCAGCATTATTCTTCCAAGCAGGCACACAAGAGGATGAGTATTATTCCAGGGTGAGCCCAGAGCTCTGAGCTTGCTGGGAATCACCCTGAGAAGCTTTCCATGAGCTTCCATAAAAGGCCATCTTAACCTAGAATTCTTCAAACTTCACCCAACACACTGACCCTCTGTCTTATTCCAGGAAGCAGTCTAGACAGTGGGGATTCCGCTGGAGAGGGGGGAAACACCACATTCTTGGAGGTAGAACATCCCAGGGGTTGGGTTCCAGGTGCAGAGTGAATGCTTTGAGGAGCCTGAGGTGACTCAAGTCCTTCTATCTGTTCTGGCCCAAGAACAAATCTGCCATCATGGGTTCTCCTGATGGGTTTGAACAAAACACCCTTTGAGAATCCCACCTGGGGCCTGGCACTTTCTGTGGGATGAGAAGATGGTGATCTCTGGCTGAGACTGAGGGCTCTGGATTCGGGGGGGGCTCCCCACCTCCCACCCTCCTCAGTTCAAATTTGAATGGTTCTCTCGGCTGTAGGGAAGTCCACTTATCAAGAATGTGGAAAGACACCACGTGGGTGGGTATGTGACCTCAACCAAAAGAGACCATTCTGGGCTCAGGGTCAGGGCCCTTTCTCCATCTGCTTCTCCTCAGGCTTAACTTTTACGAAAACTTCAAAGCTGCAGAAAGTCAAACTTGACCTGGTCCAATGGGAAAAGTGCTTCCATATTTTTCCTCTATTCACCACAAACATGATATGTGCTGGGAGTTCTGAAGATGGGAAAGACGCCTGCCAGGTAAAAGGCTTGGGCTTTGTGTGGAGAGGATGATGGGTTCCCTTTCTCTTCTCTAGGTAACTTTTGCCACCAGAGTTTCCTACAGCTGCCATAGCAAAGGACCACACTGGGAGGCTGAGAATAACACAAATGATGCTTACTTTGTTCCAGAGGCCCTGTGTCTAAGATATCTGCAGGGTCCTGCTCCTTTCCCGGGTTCTAGGAGAGGAGATTTTCCTGCCCCATCTGGCACCTTGTGTGGCTGGCAATCATGGGTGTTAGGTTGCAGACACCTCACTCCCACCTCAGACTTCACGTGGCTTTCTCCTATCTTTTGAGCTCTAGTAAAAATGAGACTTTTAACATTACACGTACTGCCCAAATCAGTACAAAATGAAACTTTAAATCTGTCAACCTGGACAGCCCAGATTTGCCTGGCCCGATGCCCACATGAGTGGGAGAGCTGCCCCTGAGCAAATGTGTGCTCTGTATCAGGACCTGGACCGGATACTTTCTTCCACAGCCGTCCTGCGGGACAGGCGCTGAGCCCCACACTGAGCACAATGTGTTCTGGCTGGCCCAGCTGAGCCTTCCTCCTGGGGTTTCAAAGGTCTGCCTGGCTCCAGATGTGTAAGATCCCAAAGGTACGCTGTTCGGTGCAGCTTCTTTCACGCGGGCCTCTCATCTCCACAGATGGATTATAATTTCATTTGTAAGGAAGGTTATGTGATTTTCTAGTGACTTCGAGGCATTTGGCAAAGGACACTTTGATTCAAAGTTGATTCAAAGGGACAATCATTTGTCTGTGACAATAATCTGGATTTTTTAAAAACAAGTAAACCCGTATCTCATCTTTTGAGTTTTCACAGTTTTGGGCTTGGATTTGGATTTTTCACAAATCTCTGAGAGGTGCCTTTATCCAACTTTTTGGGTGTCACAAAACATTTTGAAAATAAAGCTTTGGAAGTTTTGTAACAATGTGTAGAGTGACCTATTTCTGTAAGATGATAACGATATATGCACATTTGCATACAAGGATATAGAAAGTTACATCAGAAGATATTAAAAGGAGCCACCTCTGTGGGGTGGCATTAGGAGTGTTGTTGATTTCACTTATTTATTCAAACACATGGTAAAGAAAGTTCAAACTTTACAGATGCATATATAATGGTGGACAGATTTACATCTTACATTTTTTGCCCAAAGATAAGCTGTGGTTGCACGAATGTGTATTCTTGAAACATTCTTTTCAAACACAATTGTGTATATGTATTTATTCACATCCTATGGATATTTTTCGTTCTTTTCCCATATCTGTATTTTCCTTAATGATGATATATCATTATTAAAATTTCAAAAATAGTCCAAAAGATTTGGAGGAATGAAAGCTTATCATATTCCTCAATTTTTATGTCAGGTCTACAGTTATGTCTGCTACTTGTGTTGATTTGGTGACCTTTTCATGATGTTTTAAATTTGCAAGTTGTTTAAAATTTAGCGATTTGAACCAAAACATGACACTTAGACATAAATTAGTCTTTTTTTCACATTTGGTCTATAGCAGCTTGTACGCTTAGTATATCCAACCAGTGACATATGAGGCATAATAGATGTTTGGTTTTGTTTTTTACCTTTTGCTATTATGAGTGACACAGAAAGAGAAAAATGAGCTGGCAGAAAATGGATTTGAAGTGAAAAGGCAGGGAGAAAGTTAGAACACTTCTGAAAACCAGCAGAAGTCAGCGGCAAAGGGGGAAGAAAAGCACTTCTTGGTAAATCAGAGCTGATACTGATACTGATGATGGTGGTGGTGGATTTTGACCAAATTGTCATGTGTGGCATTGCTTTTGGCCAAATTGTTTCTCAGCTTCAATAGTCAGAAAGCAGGGTCATGAGGTCGGAGGGCCAAATCACCGTCAAAAAATATTCTGCCATCCAAAGATGCCCTGCACTCCCCATCATGGCCTGCAGGAGTAGTGCTACTGTCCCTTCCACCACCTAACTTTTCTTTCCTAGGGTGACAGTGGGGGACCTCTGGTTTGCCGCAAGAAGAAGAAGAAAAAGAAGAAGAAGAAGAAAAACACATGGTACCAGCTGGGCATTGTCAGCTGGGGCAAGGGCTGTGCCAAAAAGGATCTGCCTGGGGTGTACACAAAAGTGTCAAATTATCTGCCATGGATTAATGGCGAGACAACACAAGCAGGGATGCCTTACAGTCATGAGCCAGACTCTGGGCAGCGATGGCTTCTCTCACCTCTGGTCATCTTGTTCCTGTACTTTCTCACACTTCTATTATTCTGGTGATTAAAAACAGTATAATCTCAAAACTCAAGTGTCCTTGGTTTCTGAAAGAAGGGGAGGATGGGTGCAAGTGATGAGGACTCAGGAACACTTGAGGTGCCTGAGCTACTCATACACCCTGGGGACTGAGAGGAACCTGGGGTGACTGTGTATCTGCAGCTCACCAGAGTCTGGGGTCTGGGAAGGTCAAGCTGTCCTCAGTGGTCACCACCTCCTCTTCCTCAGGGAGGAATGGCCAGGACCTCTACAGCAGAAAGCCTGTTGGTCCCTGTGAGAAGCATGCATCCTTCCACAACAGCCTTTAGAATCCAAAGAGCAGAAAATTCACCAAGTAAGGAAGACTTTGCACTCTCTCTCTTTATTTTTTAGCTTTGTCCTGAGGCCCACAGACTTTGTTTCCAGAAAGTTCCTTGAAGCTTCTTCACATACCTTTTGTGTCAGTTAGGGTACGACAGATTTAATATAAAAATACATATGATTATATAGAGAAAATCAGAACCTACCATTTAGGAACCTGCCATTCCTACCATTTAGAATGTCTAGTTTCTATTAGAAAAACTTACAAGTTATGTAAAGAAATGAAGTACCCAACACTCACACAAAAAATCAGTTAATAGAAATGATCCCTTGGTATTCCCAGGTATTAGATACAGCAGATAAAATCTTACAGTATATTCAAAGACCTCAAGGAAACTATGGTAAAGTAAGCAAACAAAAGTAGGATAAAAATTAATTAACAAAAAGTGAGTCCCAAAAAGGAGAAAGAAACTGTAAAAACACCAAGCACACATTCTGTACTTAGAATGACTGACATCTAAAATAGAAATTCAATAGAGGGATTCAATAGCAGTTTCTAGAAGGTAGAAGAAATAATTGGTGTGCTCAAAGATAGAACAATAGAGAATATCTCATCTCAAAAACAAACAAAATGTTTTTGGGTAAAATTAGCAACTCAGAGACCCATGCAAACAAATCAACATATTATAATGGGAATCTCAGGAAAGGCAAGAGAGAAAAGAACAGAAAAATATCTGAGTAACCAATGGCCTCATAGCCTGCAGTTCTGAAAAACAAAACAAAACTAAACTAAAACAAAAAACCTTTCAAACTGCACATATAGTTCCAACAAACTCCCTACAGGCTATATACAAATATGTTCCAAAGTCCATTATTGCTAAATTATTGAAAGTCAAAGACAGAAAACATTGAAAGCAACAAGTGACAAATGATTATCTTCTAGGGAATATCAATGTACACAATGGCTCGGCTATCGCTCAAAACAATGAAAAGTAGGCAGTGGTTAGGCATACTCAGATGTGCTGAAAGAAAAAAATTTGTCAAATAGGAATTCTATACCCAGCCAAACTGTCCTTCATAGATGAGGTAAAATTGACTTCTGGTCCAGGACAAGATGAAACAGATGTACTTCTCATTTTAAGTAAGAGCAGCTCAAAACTGTGACTATTATAAATAAAAGAAATGTACACAGACTCTGAGAGGTGGAGAGGAGTCATATCATGTGGGGCCCTAAGGATCTGATAATGAATTGGTGAGTTCCATGGGTTGTCTTTTTAATTTTTATATCCAGAACTGAGTGCCAGAGAATTCAGCTACCAGGGAACACCATAAAGCCCCAAGAAAAGCCTGCTCTTTCTAGCCAAACTTCAAGACAGAGTAAAGTCTGACAAAATAGAAAAGTATTGATGATAACCACCCTCCTCAAGCACACACACACAAACACACACACACACACACACACACACACTGTGCTCCACCCCCATTCCCATCAGCAAAGGCCAACTAGGGAATCTGGCCACCTCCACCTCATCCATTTGAGGAAGGAAGTCGTGTCAGAGAGGCCTAGTGAGGCCTGAGACATTAACCACCACTTCAGCAGTGTGTCCTCCACACCAGTGTCAGTGGAGACTGAAGAACAGAATGAAAGGTGCTTCTCCCCTTCCAACCATGCAAAACATGAAACCAAACAATGAACGTAGGCCCTTAACTTACATTACACACAAAAATAAACTCAAATGAATTGTAGACCTAAATGTGAATACTAAACTCACAGAACTTCTAAAAGAAACACAGGAAAAAACGTTGTTATCTTGGACTAAGTAAAAAGTGCTTAGATAAAATTGCAATAGTACAATTAATAAAAGAAGAAAATTGACAGATTGGATTTTATCAATATTAGACACTTTTTTGCCTTAAACTTAATCAAGAGATGGACTGAGATGAAATCACATACCTTATAAAGGACCAGCATTCAGAATATGCAAAGAACACTTCAATTCAAAATTAAAAAGTAAACAATCCAATATGAAAGAAAAGCTCACAAACATCTAAATAAACATTTCATTAGAAGAGAATGAATGGCTAATAAACATGTGAAAATATGTTCTGTATCATTAGTATTAAAATTGCAAGAAACTGTAACCAAGTAATCATTAAGCTGTAACTAATTAAGTTGCCTCTACTTCACTGTGGTTTTTTAATAAATGCTGCCAGCTTTTGTTATTGGTTGGAGCTCTCAGAACCTGTTCTGGTTCTGTGATCTACATAATTTTAAAATCAATTTTGTTTTGTTTTTATCAAACTTCACTAAATTGTCTAAAAATTTTCTCTTTTAACATTAGATATTAAGAAAATGCAATTCAAACCACAAAGAGATACCACTACATACCTTTCAAGATGGCTTAATCAAAGACACACAATAACAAGTATTAGCAAATATCTGGAGAAATGGGAACCCTTGAATGTTGCTGGAAGGAACATAAAATGGGATAGCTACTTTGTAAAAACAATTTGTCAGTTTCTCCAAAAGTTAAACAAAAATTTGTTGTACAACCCAATAATTCTACTCTTAGGAATCTATCCAAGATGAATAGAAATCAGTCTCTACACAAAGACATGGATGTAGATATTCTTAACACCATTATTTACTATAGTTCTAAACAGGAAATAATCCAGATTCTCAACCAGTAAGTGGATAAACAACACGTGGCATATCCACACAATGGATGCTGTTTAGTAATCTGATGGAATGTACTCCTGATACATTCTGCTGCACAGGTGAATGTCAAAATTATTAGGCCAAGTGAAAGAAGCCAGATATGGACGACCACCTGTTCTGTAAATCAGTCTATTAGAATAGTTCAGAAAAGATAAATAAGCACAGATAGAAGCAGGACTGAGGGCTGCTATCAGATAGGGCTGGACTGAGAACAATAACAACTGCAAAGCAGCAAGAAGGAACTTTCTGGGGAGCTTGAGATGCTACTAAAGTGAATGGTGGGGTGGGCTGCATAACTGTAAACTTCATAAAAATCACTGAGGTGTACATTTAACAAAGGGTGGATTTGTGGTATGTACATTAACCTCAATAATTGAAAAAGCTAAAATTCTCCCAATATAAGAATAATTTGAACACTTTCATACACATTTAATCATTAACTTTTTGGAAATTACCTTGTTTGTGCTGTCCCTGGGAGGCAGTGGAAGAGGACTGTAAGTTCAAACCCAGGTTGGGCAATTTACTGACTGAGTAAGATGCTGTCTCAAAATTTTAAAAAAGTTTTAAGAAGGGCTGGTATTGTCTTCAGCATGGAACAAAAGAGGAGCATGGAAGCAGCATGAGACCCTCTGTTAGGCCCATCCCTTTGGCCCAGGGTGGCAGAGGAGCCCAGCCATACAGGTGCCAACACAGCTGTATTTGTGCCCTGCCCCTATGAACAAGAGAAAGAGGGCCTCTCTGAGGCTCCTCAATGAAAATTGAAGCCCACTGGAAAAGTGAAGAAAATCTGCAATAAAGGAACACCACACTATTATAGTTGGTAAGTCGGAGGGACCAGCATCTCACATGAGAACCTGGTCTAACTTCAGGGGAAAGACAGCTGGGACTTGCAGCAGAAACTTACAGAGTTCAACCCAGCAGGAAGACAGAGATCTCAACAACTTGGGCCTTGCAGACAGAAATCAGCCTGAACCTCAGGGGACAGCTGCTGGCTTGCCAAGACTAATTAATTTAGATTTGCACACTCCTGCCCACACTGTCTATTGTGTCAGCAGAGGCATACCCTGAAGGAGGCCCTCTATTTCTATTTGCATTTTCAAAGTAATAATTTTCTCTTATCTTTAGTCATTTAAAAATATATCTTTTTCTTTTCTCATTTTTTCCTTTTTTGTCTTCTTTTCTTTCTCTCTCTCTCTCTCACTCTCTCTCCCGTCTTGAACTTCATGACTCTTCCTTTTAGTTCCTGTTGCTATTCTAAATCAAATTTATTTTCCTTCTTTTTCTTTTCATCTCTTTTACCTTCTCTCAATTGCCATTAATTTTAAAAGAAAGTGATTACAGTTGCTAGCCTCCCTATTGCTGTTAGTTTGCTCTGTTCTTGGGTATATTTTGTTCTGCCTTTTCCTCTTCTCTTCAACAGCCCCCTAGAATTTGTGTGATCTTCCTGTGTCCTCTGACCTTACTTCTAACCTGTCTCTATCCTTTCTGTCTATCTATTTATCTATCTATCGCTCCCTCCCCAACTCCTTCTAAATCCCAAGACTGAAGGGTAAAGTTGCTATACTGAAGAGTTTATTCACTATAAACATATTTTGGGCTGGTCCTCAATTTTGATTTAATTCACACAGTTAAAGGTGATAGATTAATAACTACCACAAATTGTTATTTTTCTGTGCTATGCTTGATGCTGTTATGTTGCTGATTATATCACTTGGGCTAAGGTGTTGTGATTGATCTATTCAGTTGTCCTCCCTGGTATAATGAAAATGAGATTGCCTCAGAGACATTAGAGACTCAAAACCTAAAGACCAGCTATATCTGGAAGATCAAAGTATTAACCCAGGAATTAAACCAAGGACAGTACCAACAACAAAAGTAGAAATGAGAAGACATTTAAACAAGACACAAACACAGACTTCCACCTCACCAATGGTAAACTCTGTGGGAAATGAGGTGGAAAAGTCTGACAGTCAACCATCTGGACACCCTGAACTGATATCACAGGAAGTAATAAAATGGATAAATGAG